TAGCTTTGGTAGGGTTCATAGTATTTGTTTCTGTTCTGCAGTTATAATGCTGCCAATTGCATATTTAGTTGTACACTATTCAACTTTCTGTTTCTGGTTTGTTTATTAGATCTGTAATGATGTTGTTATAGTTCTCAGTTTGTTTCCTTAGCTTTACAGTCACATTTTCATTTCATGCTGTATGTTTGATCGCTTTTAATAGATTCAATTGAGGTGGGTTTTGTTCGTTTGTTTGTTTTTTTTGTATTACAAAGTACCAGTGGAGAATTTTATTAGGTTTTCTTTCAGAATGGATACTTTGTCTGTCTTATCTGCCTCTCACATATTATGTTCCTTCTCCCTTCCCCACCCATATCTGTTTCTCTATAAATGATAAATGAAAGCATATCAGAGTTCTAAGAGTTTTGTCTACTCGTTTTCTTTCTCTGACTTTTGGGGGAGGAATAGTTATGGTGAGTTTAGGAGTCTCAGTTCTTTATTAGAATCTGTGTTCCTATTCTTGGCCACCACTTTTCAAAGTTTATAGTATGCAATTATAATATTTCCTTTTTCAGTAAAGGATGGAGATTTCCCCCCTCCCCTCCTACTCTTTTATAGTTTTTTATGTATTTTATGAGGTATTTAAGGGACTAACCTTCTCTGTTTTTGCTACACTCTGCCTCTGTACCTAGAAATTATTAAGAACTCATGATTTAAAATACTACTTTTATAGCACTTTATTAGTTAGAATTTTTACCTGTAGTTTCTTCATAAACTATCATAACTCTGTAAAATAAGTATTTATTATCCTCCCTACTTTATAGAAACTGAAATTTATAGTGGTTTAATATCCATGGTTCTCCAATAATAATCAGAGGAATTACCATGCAGACCTAGTTCTGCTCTAAAGCTCAAGTTCTTTCAACTTCAGAATATTGCTTTTGTGAATCTTTGAGAAGGTAATAAGCAAAGTCCACCTTTTCTTCTGAGACATCATTTTCTCTTGGATTTTTTCCTACAACACAGGCGCCTCCTTCCATTCTACTTTGTTAGTTCACACCTTTTTCTTGACTTTTAACATCGTTGTGTCCTAAGGCTTGGGTCTGGGATATCTTTTCTGTCTCTACTACCTTGCTTGGTGGTCTCATGTAGAACCACAGTTTTGAATATTATCTGTGTGCCATTCATCAATTCTACATTCATGTTTTAACCCTAGGCTCCTCTCTGGATTGCTAGACTTTTTACATCCAACTGCTTAGTCTACTTAGATGTCTAATAAGCATCTCAGTATAACATATCCAGAACCAGACTTGAATTCTTTCCTCAGTTCTGCTTTTACCTCATTTTATACCATTTCATGAATGACATTACCATTCCCTAGATGCTCAGGCTGAAAAATCTGAACTCCTATCTTTCTCTCCCTTCTTCATCTCTTTCTCTGGAGTGCTCTCTTTCCCCCACTTCATCTTCTTCACCTCCCTTCTTCCCTCCTTTATTCATCCCTTCTCTCTTCCCTTTCCCTCCCTTCTCCTCCCTTTCTCTTCTCTTCCTTTTTTCCTCTCCATCTCCACTCCTTCCCTCCCTCCCTCTATTCTTTTCTCTTCCCCTTTTTCATTCATTCTTTCTCCCCTCATGTATATTTTATTAACAAATTCTTCTGGCTCAGTGACTCTTATTTTCAACGCCCCCCCCCCCCAACCCCCGCCGCTTGCTTTGTTCTAGCTACTCTGGCTACCTTATTCTTCCTCTAATGTGCCAAGCACACTCCCACCTCAGGGCCTTTGCACTTGCTACTCCCTCTGGAATACTCTTTTCTCAGATTTCTGTACATTCTCATTTCCCATTTGTCTCTGCTCAGATGTCAACAGTGAGACCTAACTCAGCCACTCTAACATTCATCTCCCCTCACTTTGGCATTCTCTGGCCTCCCTACCTTGCTTTGTTTTTCTCCATCATTTCCTGATATGCTAACTATTTATCTATATGCTCTGTCTCCCCAACTAAAATAAGTTTCATGAGCTCAGGGACTCTGTTTTCTGCAGTATCCCTGGCACCTAGAATAGCAGTGGCTGGCACATTGTAGCCACTAATTATTTGTTTATTGAAATAAATGAATGAATGAGAATTCAGCCAACATCTGCTCCTAATACCAAACCAAAACTATTTTCTTATGTATGTATTTGAGGTTTACACATACCTACAATGACAGGATGAATTTGTTTCTTTTATGTGAAGACAGTTGGGACATTAACTACTATATGCAGCACAATTACTGTATGTTATACTAATTTCCTTGAATAATCTTTCAGTTGAGAGAAAATAATTTGATCAATTCTTGACTTTTTAAAGTCAGTATAGTTTCCTAAAACACTGAGACAACAGGGGCAACTGCTTCCTATTGACCAGTAAGTCCTGTGGAAGTGATAGGAAGGTTTGGATAAATGGACCTTTTCCTCTTTGAGTCTCTAATTGTGAAGAAAGGGAATGTTTGCTGTAGTCAGGTGACTTTCCTAGACTTTAGAAAAGCAGATTTTATTATACTCAGAAAGTAAACCTTTTTTATTGTGTGGCTAAAGAATTAAAAAGTAAATTACTTCAAAGGAATTTTCTAGAAATATATATTTTGTCTAAGCACCAAGACAATCCTGGTAAGGAACAAAAGTATGACTTTGTCAGATCTGTTCTAATTAAATTTTAAAGGATATAATAAATGACAAAATAAATGTCATAGTCCTATAACTCTTGTCAAATTAAACCAAGAAAGACCTGAAAATAATGAAACAAAGACCACAAAATGGATATTTTTAAGTTATGTTTATAGCCTTCCTTCCATCACCCCCCCTCCAAAAAAATAAAAAACCAGGAAATTATAAAAACCACTGCTCAGGAAAGATGATGTAATATTAATACTAGTATAGCACAGAAAGAAGGCAGATCTAATCAGCACCTATTTTGGTTTGTTTTCATCTTTTCTGTTAGAACAAACAATGAATGATAGGGAACCTAATTTTCAGTACTAAAATACTATCTTTGATATAACTATAAAGCGAATGGTTACTGATGAAAACCTGACTTTTAAAAGCAGAATCCTCCTCTTAACCATATTTTCACAGGGTGGGTCCTAAAATTCTTCTGAAAGAGAATCACAGTCCCTGCCCTGTTGTGGAACTTGTGACCTAGTTGGGGCCAGATTGAGGTGAGATAGGAAGGCATAATTGTAAAACAGCTAGGTAAACCTCTCTTTAAGCAAATGCAAGCTAAAGTGGTAGGGTGTTACATACCAAATAAGGGGAAATTCTTATAGGGAAAGGATTAATCCGGGGGATTTTATGAAGGCAGTAAACCTTGAACTGAGCTTTTGAAACAAGTAAAACATTTTAATTATAGGAAAGGAATAAGGAAAGCACTTTCAGTAGGGATAGTATAGTAAATAGAATAATAGTTCTAATAATAGAACAGTAGCATTTCTTGACTGCTTACATCTGTCAGTATTACACATGCCATTACTTCTACACATGCCTTATAGAGACAAATGAAAATGTATTTACTTGGGTAAGAAGTAAATAACAGCAGTCAGAAGTATTTTAAATAGAATATTATGTACTGGTCTATTACTCTGCTTACTATGTGTGAAGAACTACGCTAAGTGACTTTTATTAGTATTTAAATATGTGCTATCTTATTTAATTCTTGTATCAATTCTGAAGTCCTCTTTGTTGTTTTACAAATGGAGAACTAAGATGCTACAAAATTAGCAACAGTAGCAATAACAGCACCTGACAATAAATATTTGGCAAATGAATGAAAGAATAAGTAAACAAACATGCCAAAGATCAGTGAGACAATTAATAAGTGCTCAGCTCTAGATTTAACAAAGTCTGACTCTTAGCCTGCAAACTAAACAGTGAAGTAAGTGATGACATTTATCTTTGTAAATACAATGGATCCAGTAAATGAAAAGGTTTAAATAACTGATGGATTAAAACCAGCTTCATCGATGAAATTATAAGAGGAATGGAGTGTTGAGGATAAGAGTCAAGTCTTTAGAGTCAGAGATCTGATTTTAATCCTACTTTTTGTATTTATCTATATAATAAAAACCCAGTGGTCATAAAGCTGTAACAACCAAAGACCAGTCACCAGGAGGCCTCGCTGCGCACAGGTGGGCGGGGCTGCGTGTGCAGCAAGGTGTGCGCAGGTGGGTGGGGACTTGACTCTGGGTCCCACCCCACGCTGGGACTCGGGGGGGTCCCGGGTCTCACACGATTTCACGTGCTGGGTCACTAGTTAGTCATATTACCTCCTTGAGTGGCATCTACCTCTTTACCCCTGTTTTTTACAAATGCCAATACTCTGTAAAGTGTGACAGTGATCCTCTTCTAAATAGAAAAGTGGGATTAAAAGGAATAATACATGGAAAGTACAGGTCTTGGCACCATAGTACTAATAAATAACCATAGTAATTATTATTAACAGTTTTGGTCCATTAGAAAGGAAAACAACTCAATGAAAACAATCTGGAGAAGTTTGAATCTGGCAGTGGCAGCCAGGATGAATTTGAAGACGAGAGCAGAGGCAAGAAGAATAGTAGAAAGTTGCTGAAGCATTCCAGTAATGTCTGCAAGAGAGCAGTAGTGTGCAAGAGACAAAGGGAGAGGGGCCTAGTGAATGGGAAAGACACTGTAAAGGCACAGTCAAAATGTAATGCTAAGTTTATATCTTTTTAGAGAATTCTAAGGTTATTGTTGACAATTTGTCATTGGAATTAGTACTTAAATGCCTTTGGCTTGCAACTCAAAGCTCAAGAATGATGGTAGTTCTGATTATGACATACTGAATATATTGGTAGAACTTCTTTTTTTGCTACCCCACCACAACCAAAATAGTATCGTGGTTTTTTTGTTGTTGTTGTTTTGCATAGTTTTTTGAGATCTAAAACAATCTACATATTTGTTTTCCCAGGTCATTCTTTCATTGATCAAGGGCTGCTAATTGAAAACCCATTCTCTGTTTTATTTCAGTGCAAGCAGCTACTGACTCAGTCTGTAGACTCCAACAGAGGGAGCAGGAACGAAAAAAGGTAAAAGTAGATCATTTGGGTATTGGAGCCTCTAACTTCAGGGCTTTTATTATAATCATATTAGCTTTTGATAAAAAGAAGTTATCTGAATTTGGTTTTTTATGCAATGATTTTAAAAGATTTTAAAATGGCTAATTCATTCATGATGTTTTGAAGAGGTATGGGCACATGATTGCACCATCCATATTTTTATAGTTTAAATTACAGACCTTGACCTTTTTTTCCCACCTTTTCAACATTTCCATCTTTTCCTTGAAAGTGGTATTTGTCTTATGGAGGAGAGAGAATAGGACTTTTACATGGAACAAAAAATACTCACCAGATTGGAAATATAAATCTTCCTTTGCACCTGAAGCGTTGAGTATAGTATGTATATTTCTTCTAGAAAAGGAAGCCTTCATGCCTGTGGATGGGTTATTTAGTGAATAGTCATAAGTGCATGTGAATCACTTGCCGGGTAGTGCTTTGCTTATTTTAATTATATCTTAACTAAATTCAGATGTGGAAAAATAGCTTAAGGATTTAAGGTCCTGTTATAATTTGGTGTTTTCACATATAATTTTCATGAATTATTTATATAGCTTATATATTGCTTTAAACCAATAAAGATACACTTATTAAGAAATGTTGAAAATGCTAAGTCATTCTGAAATACACACCTTTTTGCATGTGCGTGTATCAACGAGTGTTACTATCTCCATTTCTCTGGAAGGTGTTGTGGTTCAGATTTGGCATTGTGTAAAAATATAATGGAATGAACCTTGCCCCAGTTTGAATTTCTTCACCCTCTGCTCAACTTTAAATATTGATATAAAGTTTAAATATTGAACAGTTTGATGAATCAAGCCTACTGAAAGAACTTGACAGTCAAGCCAGGGGGCAAGGCTGCCCAAGAAGAGTAGGATTGTTTCTAGCAGGCCAGGTCAGGAAACAGGCCATTGCGGAGCACCTTGATAAAAGGACAAGGCAAAGCCATAGGCAGGAAAGTCTGGGTTGGGTGGAGTGTTTGCACTGTGTCTAGAGAGCACTGTAGAGGCAGGAACGGGGGCTTCAATGGGCTTTTCCTGGCTGGACAGATTTTTTTTTTTAATCCTCTACTTTGCTAGGAGAAAAATTTTAGTTTGTTAAGTTTGAAGCAGTTTGTATACTCAGGAGATAAAAGTCTAGGGGTCCCAAACCACTAGTCTATAATAATAAAAGCATAATATGCTAATTAGACTGGACAACCTTCCAGATGAAGCCAGGGCTGCGAGGGGAGCCCGGGTCCTGGGTGCCTGCCGGTGGCCGGAGAAAAAGCCCGGGTCCCTAGTGCCAGAGGAAAGCCAGTGCCAGCAGCCGGGGAAGGAAGGCCTACTCTTGCATGCATTTTGTGCATCGAGCCTCTAGTACTAATATAATGAAGGATAAAGTAAAAGCTGTTAAAGCTGTGGTCCAGTCACAAGGAACTTTGTAGGATCTGGCAAAAAAGTAATTTATTAGGAGGATGCTAGCATTCGTTCCAACCTTGCTCAATGAGTTGGACTTCAATTGACAGGATATGGGAAGAAAAATATGAGAGGGTGACGAATATCATGTGAGAAAAGACAAAAGATGTTAGAATTCAGTAGTCCATAGAGCTGGGATGTGGACTATCTAAAGCATGGTGGGGAACTTTTTTTCTGCCAAGTGCCATTTGGGTATTTATAACATCATTTGCAGGCCATACAAAGTTATCAACTTAAAAATTAGCCTGCTTGCCCTAGCCGGTTTTGCTCAGTGGATAGCGCGTTGGCCTGCAGACTGAAAGGTCCCCAGTTCAATTCCTGTCAAGGGCACATAACCAGTTTGCAGGCTCGATCCCCAGTGGAGGGTGTGCTGGAGGCAGCAGATCAATGATTCTCTCTCATCATTGACGTTTCTCTCCCTCACCCTTTCTCTCTGAAATTAATACAAATATATTTTTTAAAAATTAGCCTATTATATTTGGTCGAACGTTTAATTAACTCAAACCTAATGCCTTGGCAGGGCCAGACGAAATGATTTTGCAGGTTTCATATGGCCTGCGGGCCGGACATTCCCCACCCTGATCTAACGGGTTATATCTGAGGATGATTGTGGAGAACCTTGATTGCTATATTAAACAAATTGTTAGTGAAGGCACCAGGAGCATTTCTGTGTTTGAGAAGCAAAAAGACTTTTTCTGTAAGAACACTGGCTATTCCTGGCTGTAACATGTGCAATTCTCTTGGCTTTCACAATGAAAATTAAGGGTGCCCTATGCATGTTGAACATGTTGCTGCGTGATTTAAGCAGATTTATGTGAATATGCTCTCACACATTATTGGTCTTTCGAAGACATCGTCAGAGTAGTTATGATTCTGATAAAATGGCAATTCTTTTCCTCCTTGAGCAGAACTAACCTAAAATTAAATTGGAATTGGAATGGTTCTTCTTGGCACTTTGAACTTTTTTCACATTTGGTGTATTAATTATATGTAAGTAAGAAAATCACCAGATTTGGTAAAAAAAAAAAAAAAAAAAAGTACAGTGTCTTCTATTTCTAGCTGTTTTCTTTATTAGCTAGCTGTATGTTCTTGGACAATGCCTTGAGCTTCAAGCTCTTTATCTGCAAAATAAATACCTATTTTACTTAACCTTATGGATTAATATTTTACTTACCTGATAGATTATATTACGTGGTTTATGTGAAATGGTTTTGCAAATTGTATATCACTTTTCATATGTAAGGTGGCACATCTTCCCTGCCAGTTCAATCATTTGTTTAAGGTGCAGGCAGTCACTTTGTGCATAAGAGCCCTGTTGTGGTTTATTAGAGTTGGCAAAGCCCTTGAAAATCCTGCCCATTCATGATTTTCTGAATTAAAAGATGCTGTCCCTGGTTGTTTTTCTTAAGGTTGCCTCAAGAAATAAGAAAGCCCTTAGAATATTTTAGTCTTAAATATGTTTCTATAGGTATTACGTTAGAGAACGTTACTGAACTATCTATAGAGTACGCATTAAAGTTACTATTTTAGAATGTACTGAAATGTTGCGTTTCACTAAGAACTGATATGGAGTCTGTGAAACCTACTTGCATAATCAGCCACCCTGAGTATTTTCTTTTCTCAAAATAACGTAATAAAATTAACCAGCTATAAGTCACACAAAGATGTGCTTTTCCTAGAAGAATAAAAATTCTTTATACCAGTGGTTCTCAACCTTCCTAATGCCGTGACCCTTTAATACAGTTCCTCATGTTGTGGTGACCCCCAACCATAAAATTATTTTCGTTGCTACTTCATAACTGTAATTTTGCTACTGTTATGAATCGTAATGTAAATATCTGATATGCAGGTTGTATTTTCATTGTTACAAATTGAACATAATTAAAGCATAGTGATTAATCACAAAAACAATATGTAATTATATATGTGTTTTCCGATGGTCTTAGGCGACCCCTGTGAAAGGGTCGTTAGACCCCCCAAAGGGATCTCAACCCACAGGTTGAGAATCGCTGCTTTTATACTCTTCCAAGGCAATGAACCTTTAGTCTTTATTTCTTTTTCAGTTTATGTAGTTAGCAATAGATTTGAAATACGTATCTTTAAGAATTTTTTTTTTCTGTCATCTGGCTTTTGCCAAAACTTTGACGTGGCAGAGGTTTCACACTACAAATATATAAAAGACATAGAGGTAAAGTTTAATTTCTCATCTAGCAAATATGTACAAAGCAAAATTGACGTCTAGCTGCATTTTGCAATCTAATGTTAATTGTTGTCCTTAGTTATACTGTTGGCTACATTTTGTGTATTTGAATGGCTCTCAGAACAAAGAAAGATGGGAGTAGTAATGGAATAAAATAGACTCTTGCCATTAATCATTAATTCTTTTATGTCAAGACAATTTGTGGAATTCTGTGGGAAGTAAATTATGATAAACGTCATTCATCCAAATCACATTTCCCACAATTGATATCAAAAAGTACATTCATAAGAACAATAAATGTCTTGAAAACGACTCACTAATACAAAGTTGTATTTTTGATGCTAGCAATAGGAGTAGTGCAATGAAAATACAAGTAGCATAAAAATAAAAGAAAATACACGTAGCTTATAAAATTCACTGGCTCTTAAAAATATGCCATCAAGGGAAATGAGCTTGTTAATATGTGTGAATAGTTTAAACTTGGTTTCCATACACAAGTATCAGCTTTTGAAGCCACATTCAACCAAACTAGAGATAGTAATGAAGTAAACATGAATCCTTTGATTCATCTTGTCCACAAATATTTATTAGATTTAGTTATATCCCAGTCTGATTTTTATGAGATCAGTGAGATAGCATAGATTATACATTGTTCTTGATAGAGTGTGAAAATGCAGAGTTAATAGATCAATAGGTAATATTCTATTTAAAATCATTACTGACAGTTGTTATTCTGACACTTCTTATCAAAGTAAATACTTTTTCATTTGTTTGTGTCGGGCATATGTACAATTAATGGCATGTGTATTACTGACAGAAGTTCCATAGGGCCTTTTAGACTGAGTTTTCTCTGAGACCAGGGTTTCTCAACCTCTGCACTATTGACATTTTGGACCAGATAATTCTTTGGGGGGTGGAGAGGGGCTGGCCTGTGCTTTGTAGGATGTTTGCAGCATCTTTGGCCTCTACCCCTTATATGCCAGGAGCACCTCCCCCTAACCTATGCTATGACAACCAAAAATCTGGGAGACAGAAGCATCAAAATCCATTCCCATTTGAGAACCACTGACTTAGACTAAAGCATGCAGAAATGTATTATGTGTCCCAGAGTTCATTTCTAGACCTGGTCCTAGAATGGTTTGGCTTCAAGATTGGCTTCTCTTTAAATTTATGTCTAATGGGATATATGTAAGACAGTTTATTATTACTATTTTTCATTTTGTTATAGAAAGAGACAAAACCATTAAAGCTAATTACTCCTAGTATACAGTTGTAGCTCATTAACAAACTTTCTCTTCAATTTTTTTTTTGGCATT